CCTCTGGATAAGCTTGAATTATCAGCAACCTAATTTGTTCCTTGGTACGCAGTTCGGTCGGAGGCCCATTTAAAAACCGACCGAAATCTATAGGAACGTTGGATGCCTTAAGAAGCTTACTCGGATGCTCAAGCCCACTTTCATCCGGAAAAGGATCGCCACCTACCGTGAGTCCCCCTGGCAGGGGGGAGAAGAAGAAAAACTTATCATACCAGCTCTTTTGTTTTATCTTCATCACAGACCCAAAAGGGGAACACCGATCGGATTTGGGCCCATAGAAGCGACGCTCCAAACCCCAAGAGGTACTACCCGAGAAAACATGACAAATTGTGAAAGACGCATATAATAGATCTTTGGTAGGGTTCATACCCTTCTCCTTGCAGCGAGAAATAAACGCTGCGAACGCCCAGAATGTGGGTGCCACCGAACTAGTGGCCAGGCCAGAATCTATCATCACCTTGCCTAGCCACTTGGGCAAGGGGGCATGATACCCGTAGGAGAGGGACTCATAGAAAATGCAATGCCACCCGGACCCACAAGAGTTAATGCTGGCATCATGGCCGGGGAGAGCATACTCCCACTGATCTGGCATACCATACAAGGCCAGAATATCCTGTAGCTCCACCATCCTCTTTGTTAAGTCCTCAGTCCGCCCAGCCTCCCGATACAAGTCTCCCGCCACATCATCCTCCGAGAAAGTCTCGAACAAGGAGCGCACACGGTTTCTCGCCCTAGCTCCCACTCTGACAGGCTCGGTCGACCAAGGTATCCATCCATCACGGTGCAGAAGTAAACCACCCTCCTTCAAACGCAGGGACGACTTGTATCGGGATCGCCATCTCCCCCCTCGAAGTAACCTCATCCTCCTCCGACGGGACAACTCCTCCTCTTGAGGAATCCCGACTCGACATCACCCGCCGATATGCCATAACTGAGACGGAGAAGAAACAAAAAGAAGGGGAAAAAAACTAAGTACTCCTACCCCCACATGCAAGCATACAACATAGCGCTGGGGGGAGGGGGGAAATGTCATACTTGACGCGATCAAGTCTCCAACAGCTTCTGAGCTAACCCTCGCCTTGCCACCGCCCGCTAACTAACAAGTTCTCTCTCAATGAAAGGGAGCACTTGGGAGAAGAATGAAGAAGAAAGGAAGATGCTATTTATAAGAGGATAAAGAGGAAGAAAGCATGGAAGAGAACACTTTCTCTTCTAAAAAGTCCAAGGTTTGTGCATTTTCCAAACAGTCTTTGACCAAAATTCAAGAAAAATGCACAGTCTTCTATTATGCTTATGGGAATCAAGAATAATGAATGCCAAAGTCATAAGGAGGGAAAATTCTCTCCCCAAATCCAAGACTTGTGCACTTCCCAAACAATCTTCACCAACATTCAACAAATAAAAAATATATAAAAGATATATAGTCTTCTAATAAACTCCCAAGATTAAATTTGGGAATTAATCACGGGGCAGACCATGCTTGCCCCCGAGAATCTTCAGATTCTCGCCGGCAAGGGGGGCAATTGATATACCTAATGTAAAAATATTTTTACAGCACCAGCTCACCATCTGCTCAAATAGTGCATTATTGCACCTAGGCCGACAATCGTGCTCAACCCACGACTCTCTCCGGTGAAGTGTTGGGTCAGGCCCGTCCAGCTCCAATTAGTACCCAATTGTGCCATGGCCGCCAACACTAAATCATACAGTGCCTCGCGATTGCCCTAAGATTAGGGTTCCTCCCTCCGAGCCCGGCATCCGGGCCCACCATTTCCCCGGCTCCCGGAGACGGGCCTTCACCTCTCGTCTGGTTTCCGACGCCTGGGCCCGTTATCGTTCCCGAAGCCCGGCTTCCGGCACCCGGGCCCACCATTGCCCCGGCTCCCGGCGATGAGCCTTCACCTCTCGTCCGGTTCTCGGCGCCCGGGCCCGTTATCGTTCCCGGACCCTGGCTCCCGACACCCGGGCCCACCATTGCCCGGGCTCCCGGTGACGAGCCTTCACCTCTCGTCCGGTGCTCGGCGCCCGCGCCCGATACTGATTCCGAGCTCCGCCCGCCTCCTGGCGCTCGGGCCCACTGTCACCCACTCCTCCCGGCGCCCGGGCTCGCTGTCGCCCCCTGCTCCCAATACCCGAATCCGCATCTATTCTCCTCACCTGTATCCATTGCATGTGTATTACCTGCACATGTGTCATGTCCTCTACTCAATTAGTTTGCATGTGGCATAAGTGTTCCCCTTAGGCAGAAACATGGTTGACATGTGTACAACCACGTGGCGGGAGCAGATGGGCCTAGACGACACATGTCCGGTGACGTGTCTTCCCGGCGCCGACACCTGTCCTCCCGGCGCCGACACCTGTCCTCCCGTTGCCCCCTTGTAGTTAGTATATAACTATCCCATTCTCTCCAGTAAAAGGTAAGGCAGGAGACCTGGGGAAGTACCTGGAGAGCGCCCACTGCAATCAGTGATTCTCACCCCCCGAGCTCACCTCCTACAAACACTTTGTAAACTACTCAATGCCCCACACTAGGGACTAACTTGAGCGTCGGAGGGTGCCCCGCCGATATCGGCCGGCGGGCTCTTTTTTGCAGGAAGCAATCGGAGGCAACGTCACGAAAGATGGTTACCGTAAAGGGGCACTTCAAATCGCTTTGGGGCCCAAGATCGAGGAAGTCGACATCGGTTACAACCTCGGCATCAACAACGGTTTTCACCATAGGTCGGACGACGACCCCTACTTCTGACGAGCTACGCCGGGGTGTTCGTCTCGTTGCTCACACTTGTAGCCAGCCTCATAGTCATCAATCGAGATCCGATCCAGAAGGTCCAATGGGCGGTCAATCTGTCAGTCTCTATGGTGCTCTCAGGAGTGGCGTTCTTCTCAATTGGGATCGACCAGGTTATCCGCCGGCAAGAGCGCTTCCCCCTCCGATACGTATCTTTCCTCATTACAACATAGAATGCCAGGGGGGAAACGAGAAGGTGAAATCTTTTCCTTCTAACCATCAATCAATCCCAAACCCATTTGATTCACAAGGTCCCGTAACTAACCAATATTATCTGTTAGAAAGGATTGCAACCAAAAGAAACGAATAAGATACCTAGGGTTCGGTTTGTAGGTTCAAGGAAGAAACTGGGCAAGAAAGATTACTCTGTCGCTTTCTTTCTCTCTTCACGTTGCAGAAAAGGAACGAGGAGAGGGCGCCCAGTTGAAGGGTTGGGTACGGATAGTTTTATTGATTCCGTTCAAGTGCCTCTGTCCTTCTCGTTTCTCAACCGGCGACAAATGGCTTAGGTGACGACAAATCTTCGTTTCCTTCCCGTGTCCTCAAGTCGGCAAGTCTACCATGGTGCGAGGCGGCCTTGCATCACCAGCCATCGAGGAGATTCCGACATGACTAAGGTTGAAACGTTGATGTCGGACCTTCAGCCGTGATGGCGGCTAGTGGAGTCTAGGAGGAGAAAGCGGGTTCGGCGGAGGTAGTAGAAGAATTAGGTTTCTATTTTTATTTTTTTAGTAATAATAATAATAATTAGGTGGAATATATAAAATGTAAAATTTTTATTTTTATTATTTTTTAACTGTGACGTCACATATTTAACGGTCAACTTTGAGGGTTGACTGCCACATCAGCCAAAGTTAACGGAGTTGGACGGAGAGTGACCGAACTTGAAATGTTTTACTAATTTTAGTGATCACGAATGGAATTAAATATTTTTAGTTACTAAACATGAACGTTTTTAATAATCTCAGTGAGCAATCTTGCAATTAATCCATTTGTTGTTTGTTGTAAGATTTGTTTATGGATTTTAGGTTATGAATTTATCACTTTAAAGGATAATTTACCTTACCACCCTTACTTCATTTGTTTTATATTTGGTGGCAAGACAACTTGGATCGTTTCATGTACTAAAAAGTAAAAACTAGTGTGTAGTTCAAAATTAATTTGTTTATGGATTTTAGGTTATGAATTTATCACTTTAAAGGATAATTTACCTTACCACCCTTACTTCATTTGTTTTATATTTGGTGGCAAGACAACTTGGATCGTTTCATGTACTAAAAAGTAAAAACTAGTGTGTAGTTCAAAATTAATTTGCTCATATACAATCTAAAGTCAATTTATGGCGTAAAACCCTTTTAGCAATCAACGGCTATCACATAATGGAACGTTACAATTTCAAAGACCATAATTATAAAAAGGAATCAACATAGACACAATGTTTTAAAATCACCTCAAACCTTCCAGAGAAAGGAAATAAACCAACACTCCTTTCACCCGTACATAATCAACATAACTAGCTTCAACAACAAGATTAGAGTTAAAATAAATAATTGTTAAATGAACAATAAGATAATTGTTCATCAAAGATTTGATCCCCTATCCAAATTTCAAGAAGAATCCAAACCTGTGAACCCTACCAATTAAGCATCCATCAAGCAAAACAAGAAAGACCTTAGGGGTTGTTTGGATTAGACAATTAGAAAATGAGGCAATTGGTGGCATTGATCCATTTGAGAAATGTCTCATTTTACAGTTGGGGAATTTTGTCCAAATACACCCGTTTGGATCAGCCTTTGTTGATGAGGCAATTGGTTTTTTGTCATTTTGTGAATAATGTAAACTACCAAAATGTCCCTACTAGTTAATATTTTTTTATTTTAACTCTCCATTCACAACACAACTCTCTTTTCCTCAACTTTCTCCTCTGCGAGAATACAGAAAATTGCACACCTCCCTTCAAACTCTCCCCCTTTACATCCATACCCCCACCTGGACTGTATAATCTGATCTCAAGCTTCTAACATTTGTGTGTGAACTTGCAGTCTATCAATAAGAAAATGTGAGTATAATATTATTGCAAATACCATAAAAGAGACACAAAGGTTATAGAAATAAATTATAGCTGCGTACAGATCATTACATTCATGGTTTCCCCTAATAATTACAACAAGATAAGAGCATGATAAAACATCCATGCTTTCCACTGTTAACCAACACCACCTGCAATTTACTACTGTTAAGATCATTACATTCACCATCTTAAACTTACCAACTGTCTAGCAGTTACAGTAGGTACTTACATCCGATTGAAATAGAGTACATTGAAGTGTTCATCATAGGAACCTTACAAAAACTAGCCTGATGAAGCTAATTATAGAACTTCACAAAATAACAGGTTGTCCTACATTTGCAAAGACTGTCATTGAAGTGTTTATAATGACAGATAGACAAAAGGCCTCTTTGCAAATTAGACAACTACCTAACTACTGCCAACATAATAGGCTAACTATACAACTACATAGACACTATAAACCATGCACTCATTCATCTTTGAGGAGATTAAGAACAAGTGTTAGCCTGTCTTCTACCTTCTCCAGCTCATAGAAACACTTCAAGTCACCTGTATTGTTGGAAAACTTCCTCACAGCAATTATCATCTGAGCTCTAGTGAGTCCATCCATTTTTTCCAAGTTTGTCAACAATTCCTTACGCATGATGTTGTAGTCTTCACTTTCCCCCAAAGCCCTTGCAATGGTGTCCACAGATTCTTTAATGAGGGGTCTAAGTCCTCCAAATTCAGTGCACACTTCACCAATGCGCTCTTCAGCATCTCCTTTCTTGTTCTTGTTCTTCTTCTTCTTCTTCTTCTGATGAGAAGGACTCGGTTCAGAATTTGTTGTAGGCCGCTTCTTGTTCACGCGAGCTTCCACACCATCATTGATTATATTCAACATTGTTTCATCCACAACATTGGTGTTCATTTGGTCGAGAGGGTAAGGTGGGCTGTCATCTTCATCGGAGCTGTCATCTTCTAATTCTGAAATGTTCGGATCATTACCCGAGAATCCAGCATCACCAGTTGCACGTCCTTTCCCGAATACAGATCCCAGTTCAAAGAACTGTGGGAGTGGGGCCCGTTTATAAGATTTACAATCAGCATGTGACTGCATTGAGAACAAGTAAAAAATCTCACTATTAATACAAGCTACTCAAGTACCATAAACCAGCACTCACGCAACCTATTTAATTGCCTCATCCAACATATTTAATTGACTGTCAGCCTATTTAAAAGCCCCATCCAATCATCAATAAGTGAAGGCAGATATAGGTAAGGAACTAGTACCTTTAGAAAGTTGTCCCAAACATTTTCAGGTGCATCTAGGTAGGCGTACTCCTCGTTCCATCCGAAACCACTCAGTTGCCGCATCATCACAGTTGAATGATACCAGTGCTTCAGCTTCTTCACCCTCGTCTTAATAGTCCCCTTTGCCTTTAAACCGCATCCGGGTACCAGCTTTTCCATCATCCTCTCGATCTCCTTAAACACACCATTCTTGCACTGCCCATCCTCAATCTGGCCCTTCTCCGTCAGCTCTAGAAGGCATTTAAGGAATGGTCCATCGTGTTTGGAATCCCAAAAGGTGTAAGCCCTAGGCACAGCATTGGCATCTTTCCTTCTCCTCGGTGCCATGCCTACAATAATGACATCAACTTAATAATAATGGACCATTATAGATTAAAAATATAAAAGAAAAAAGTAATCCACAGAGACATTAATAGGGACCAGAAGCAGTTAAAGGAACCGAAAGCAATTAAAGGGACAATAAGCAATTAACTGGACTGGAAGCAAGTAAAGGGACAAGATTCATAATCCCAACGCATTTTCATAATCCCAAAAAATACGCTCAATGACATTCCTAGCAGAAGAATGCTTCATATTGTAGTATTCTTCGGCCGTTTCTGGTCGATTGGCACCCCATTCTTTTAGATGATACCGCTGGCCACGATAGGGGGTTAAAAATCCTGGGCTGTTTGCCTACCCAGCATCACATAGATAATAACAACCTTCAATACATGAACAATTTTAATTGTTATTGGGTTGTTTCATTTATGACTTGCAATTTAGTATCTAATTGTTAAACTTAACCAAAAATTACCTTCAGCCACAGTTAGACCATTTTCCCTAGTAAGGGCATCACGCAAAACTCTTCCATCATGGGCAGACCCCTCCCATCCAGATAAACAATAGATAAATTCCAAATTGGGTGTGCAAACACCCAACACGTTAATGGAAAGATCACCCTTCCTATCTCGGTACCTAGTTCGATCCTCTTTCAGTGGTCGGACATCAATATGAGTTCCATCTAGAGCTCCAAGACATTTCTAACAAAACATTCAAACAGAATGTTCATCGGTTGATTGATAAAAACAAAACAAAAGTAGCAATGCATTGGAGAAATAATTATAAGGTTCACCTTGAAATGTTTCCACCTACTATTGGTACAAGTGTCGGGAATGGGAAGCGGCTTCTTCATCAATAAGTTGTTGAGCCTAATAACAGCCCGCAATACGCGGTGAATTGTTCGTGATATCGTCTCTCCCGAACGACGTAAATTCAGTCTTAAGGTTCTATTTTTCTCGTTCTGTGAAATAGTACGAAGAAATATGTAGACCATCTCGTCTATATCCACATTCCTAGTTCTTTTCAACCCACCTTCACTAACAAGAAGTTCACAAAACTTTCTGAATAAAGTTCGATTCATCCTTACTTGGTCGAAAGTATCAATGTCAGTCATTCTAGTTGAATTCCTAAGGTGTCTTTGTCTATCATAGTGCCTCTGCATGTAGGTGTCGATTGGTTGCCTACTAAGTCTTCGATTCATGTAATGTTCTTGTACAAGCTTAGCTAGTTCGATACCTAAACTAACATAAATCATGAGAAGGTTGGAGAACGACCCAATTGCTGCAACCACCTGGCGTCTACGAGCTGGAGCTAAACTTGATAGTCGAGGCATCCTTTATAAAATAGTTAAAATGCATTATTAGTTGGACGAGAACCGGCAAAATCTAGAAACCCATGTCCATGTCGATTACAGATGCAAAAAGAAGGATACATTTTTGTTGAGCATGTACTTTTAATTTCAAAACGATCATTAGCAATAAATCAAGAAGTATAATTTGCTTTAATTTGCTTTCAAGAAAGTGACACATATGCAAAACACTAGGGAAGGAGACAGTTCTGTAACAATTGCTTTTTTATGATCATTAAATAATTTAATTGTCAAGGATTAGAACACACAAAGATTAGTTTAACAAAAGGAACAAGCCATTATTAGGTAAATGGCGGAAAACACTAATCAAAAGGTAAGACACAGCAGCAAAGGAAACAAAACAGCAATATGGGTATCCTCATGGTTAGACGAAGGAAATATCAATTGCTTTTATGATGAACTCAATAGATAAACTCACTTGGGGTTGTACTCACGGTGCAACATAAAGGAAAAAAAGTGCAGATTCATCATTTGAAACTTGAGAAGAAAGAGAGAAGAAAGAGAGAAGAAGAAAATATACGCCCCTGGCCTTCCCTAAATCCCCAGGTACACAAACACAAAGCGTTGAAACTTGAAAGTACTTTCGTCATCAATTAATTAGGGTTACGAGGGGGATTTTTGGATTTCAACAAGTATATATTTAAGAAGGGTCAAACAGAATCAAGGTACCTGGCTCAATCTTTGAAGATGAAAATCTGGCTCCTCGTCCTTCAAACAATCTAGATGCCGCTGGAAGATCACTGATGTGTATGCTTCAGTCGCTTGCTCTTCTCTTTTTGGAAAGCAACAAGACACGATGGAGATGTAAAATGACAGCTAAGAAAGAGAGTCCAGTAGGTGAAGAATCAACCAAGTGTAGTTTCGGGTTTATAATAAAAAGGCAGGGACAACTTTGGAAAGAAAAAAGTATAAAATGGGTCAATCTTAAATTTCTCCTCCCCCACCAGGTAATTGCAAATGCCTCGTAACGCGTCAAAGAGATTGGCCCAGACCCAATTACTTCATTCTCCTTTTGGTATGCCAAACGGGTCAATTAGACCCAATTGACTCAATATGAGACAATTGGGTACAATTGATCCATCACAATGTTTAATCCAAACGACCCCTTAAATTTATGTACAAATCCATGATAGTTGGAATTCGGACATTTAGTCATTTACATTGTCAGATACTCAAAATAGTGACACAATGATTGTCACGTGAAGTAGGTAAGAACATTTATGAATGATGTTAAGATGAAAATAACCAAATTACTGAACATTGATACACTAATCCCTTCAAAAGTTGGTTCAATATTTTTGTAGGGTGATATCCTCTCTTGTGTTTAACCATTAAAATTACCGTTTGTACAAAGTCGTACAGGTTGATCATATCATCTCTTGTACTAAATCATTGTTCAAATTGGGAGTTGTTATAAGGATTCGAAATCATAATCTTTTGGTCAAAAACTCTAATATCATGTTAACGAACAAATCATTTGGCACAATCAAGTTGTTGTAAAAGCGTTTGTTAAGTTTTATCTCTTCCACGGCTAGACCAAATCTGGCAAAAAAAAAAAAATTGGTTCAATGTTGACACACAATGGAGTATGAACCGCTTGGACTAAATTTTGCATTAACGAAACTGATACAACTAGTTTTAATCGCAAGAGGACTTGGGTTTGTTTAAAGCAGGATACACGGGTAGTAAACATGAATTATCAGTTATCACTGTTGGGGGTTAAAGGGATTTCGTGCGATGATGTGCAGCAGGACTGCCAGTAGCTGGTTTCTGGGTCGATAAGGAAGCCAATTTCCCGTCTTCTTGTTCTTCTTCTTCTTCTTCTTCTTCTTCTTCCACAAGAGAAACTTCAGTAGTAGTATTAGTAGTGCTCGTAGAGCCACCAGCATGGCCATCATCCACCATAACCACTGGCTTCTCAATCCTCAGAACGCTGCCGTTCACCAGCATCTCCTGTTCCAGGTGGGCACAGTAGCTCTCGAACACGCGACAAGTGACAGTAACGCCGTAGTCCAGGAGGATCAACAGCTCCATTTCCAGCTTGTTCAGTTCTGCGTTGCTCACTCCCCCAACTTTGGCGTAGAATGCATTGCTCTGGTGCCTTCAGTCACATCACCACCACAACAATTAATAATTTCAGTTTAACGAGACTTACAGAAACCAAATTGAGGCACAAAACTAACAAATTCCCTTTGATTTCGTCGAGGTCAGGTCGTCCGAACCACGATTCAACCACGATTGACGATTTCTTTTTTTTTATCACACAAACATAAACCCATTTGCAGAAGCCTAAGAGCAGAGAAAGCAGCTAGGGAGAAGAGACAGAGAACTCACACATCATCGAGCATCTTGGAAGCAACCAAGATGCTGGTGACGAGCAATCGATGGACATTGAGGGAGACCAAGAGAGAATCAGGGTACTTATGAATCAGCCGATCGATGTAAACATAACCCACCACGAAGCACGAAGGGCTGCAATCGGTGTACTTGAACAGCCTCTCCAGGTACTTCAATATGCTTATATTGGGCGCTCTGACGCCATGAAACGCATTCAAGCTCTTCCCACCATCAGCACCTGCCAGCAGCCGGTCGTTTCTGGCCACGAGCTTCTCCAGTACATGGGCAAGGATGGTTAGCACCCTCGGCGTGGCTTGCTCCGATTGGCTCGGCTCCGGCTGCCGCGGGCTGCTGGTTGGTATGAGCTCTCCGGTGGCGAACATTCATGCCAACATTGCCTGGGGGAAAAAAGGAATGATCTTTTTTTGGTTTTGGGGGTTGGATTTGTTAAGGAAGTGGTGGCTGCTGAGGCAACTTTGAATGGAAGGCTGTTGTCATGTGTTTGTGTTATCTGGATGGTGTGGGGTTGGTGTAATGGGTTGCTGACACGTGGAAGATGCTGATCTCTGTCCCTGGATTATTCCTTTTTGACAAGTCAGTGCAATTGGGAAGTGGATGGGAACATGAAAGGTAGGGCTAAAAATGACCCTCTCATCTCATCATAATCTGTATCCACTCTCGACTCAATCTTGGTCTGTGTGGAATGAATGAACAAGGCACGTCAAAGAAGTTGCCTAGACAGCATTTAAAGAAGGCCCGAGGATCCCAAAATGGGATTTCCCCAAAAAAATTTTCAAAATACAGAAGGTTATGTTTCCTGCATTGCGCACCCCAGATGTGAGACTCTGTCATGTGTTCCCGCCCAGTGGTCAATGTTCATTGTGATGCACCCAAATCGCTGAGCTAGATAACGGTCCAACCTTTGATTTCTTGCAAAACCAGTAATCCACGTGCATTGTTTTCGCATCCAGCGATGAAAAATTCATAGTGTTTGTCTAAAGCAATCAGTGAGCAAATCGCTTGTGTCTGAAGCAATCTGCTCCAAATACGTATAATTTGAGAAATTCTTATAAAATTATTATATTTTGAGCATCTATTATAGCAATGTATGTATTTTAGGAAAATAATTATCCAAAATGTGATAGTTAGGTGAGTCTAGCCATCTAGGGTGCGCATTGTGTAACTCACCTGAAATGAAACCGATTCAGTATAAATTGGATATGATACCGTTTACATAATTCTCATTTTTCACTTAGTTCAACTTTTTCTTTGTAAAAAAATGACATGAGCATCACAGAGAAAAGAACATTAAAAGTTGTATTAATTGGAGTTTGATTTCATCTAAAAAGTCTATCAATTCCCAATTGAATAGGATCAACGATATACATTGTTAATTATATCGTACCCACCATCGTGAGTATCCAACCCAATTAACAAGGAAATCTCTACATTTATAGGGTAAGGGTGGGCATGGGTGTAAGTATTACCCACAAAGGAAATGGTGGAGGTGAGTCGGAATGTGTTAATTAGGTGCCCATGTCCCATCCTTATATCCATAATTGTCTCGCATATAATTCTTATATTACTTTCACTCAGTTACGTGTCATCTTATCATTCTCTTCCCCATTTTTCACTAAAATTTAAAACTATTATAACTCTAACTCTCTAAGCACCTTCATTTCACTCTTCAAATTCCACTAATACATATATATGCCACCTTTTAACCCTAATTTACCCTATGATTTTAATTTTTATTATGTTTCTCATATGATACCAATTTGTTAGAAGTATTTATCTAATTATGTACCGTCTCTAAGTTCATTAGCCAAATCTAAATTGCTAATAAGGCCGAACAAATTATTATATGCAGGTCAATGGCGTATATCATAGACATAGAGATCAAAGTATCAACTAACAAGAAGTGAAATGTAATTGACTACTGCAGCAAAAGTAAAGCAATAAACATGACTTGCTGTTAATCCTTGGTTGACTAACCAACATAATAAAACGGTGTTGGGGATGACATGCCAACAACATTTCAATGTGCATGTGATACTCATGATTAAGTAGTATATTTGGAACAAAAATTAATCATCTTCAATTTATAAACTTTGCGGAGTGGAGTTTGTAACTTGTCCTCTAAAGTTTTGTTTATCGTCGAACCAATTGGTTGGGATAATCACAACATCATTTTGAATTTTTCGACCATAACCTAATTTCGACATTAAGATAATGGAGGGAATTAAAAGATAGACCTATTATGCATAATTGTTGATGTGGTACTCTCCGTGAAAGAGCTTCCACTATTAGATGAATAAGATAGGTAGTTATCATAATTTGTGTTCACCAGTCACTTGCAGACGCCAGATCGGTAAATGTCAACGTAGGTGACATTCCAATCGAAGAAGTGGTCGGGAAACTAGGCAGTGACGATAGCAAGAAAGGACAAGACGGCTAGGAGGAGAAAGTTGGAGGATAGAGATCTAGTTGATTCTCGTGCCATTTTCGCTCGAGGAGGGATTCAACCAATGAAAGGGAATCCACATGCCCCCTGCAGCTCTTAATTTCCACAATTGGCATATTGGGTGTAAAATTTCGACGAAGAGGCTCACCCCATTAACGGGTTCTTAAGCTGCAATAAAACCTAGCAACTTCAAAATCTTCAACGGTTTTTATCCTAGTTCTCTTCGACGACTGTCGGTGGTGATTTAATTGCAAAATGAGTCATCATATATCTCATCATTTACCTCCAATCTTCCAGTCGCTTCACGGTTATCTCCGTCAAAGAGGAGGGACCCTTTGCTTTTCAAGAGAGAGTTTCGAAGTGTCACTTCTCACTAGAGCTTCAACTCCTTCGCCAGCTTTTGATTTTCTGCACATAAGTCTCAAATCTTGGAAGTTTTTTTCATGGAAAATATAGAAATGTCTTCCAAGAGGAGGGAGAGATATAGAGAGAACAATGGACAGCACCAATTTCATTGTATATATGAAGATGAAGTCAATCATCAGTGGGCATCGATACCAAGACTTTCAGATTATAACCTGTAGACTGATCCCTTATGCATTCCATGCGCGACTTAAAAAAGGTTTTGGAGTCATTATGGCAACACTTTTTTCGTAGAAGTTACGGCAACACTTTGATTAGTTGGTAGTTTATCTCTTTCTAAATTTGTTTTTCAGTTCTGTTGTAGGTTAGTCACTAGATAATGTGCAGAATGGATAAATTAAATTGTGCTTAGATTGTAAATTATTATTCATTTGATAAATTAAATGCCCTCATTTGTCAACTAAACTCGACATGAGGTCCATATGCCACAACTTATCTAGCTAGCTCCACCAAGAGAAATATTCTAGCTGCTCATTTTCATCCCATATTATTCCTGGGGATTTTTTTTTGTTTTGAAGATTGATTCAAATTGCTAAGTTTAATTTGTGCCATTCAAAAACTAAATATGAGTGTGGCAGCCATTTCCTCTTGCATAGATCTGGCATCAGTCGCCGAT